TTTAGTAGTTTTATGATCTTTTATTTTACTAAAACAAAATTACAACAGAAAAATCCCATATTTCTTTTTCCACCACTAATGAGATAAAATAGGCAAAAGACAGGATTTGTCAGGCAGAAAAGAATGTTTTACAAATAAGTATTCCTTCCTGGAATATCTAGAACCAAAATTTTGGTAAAGTGTTATAAAATTGTAAGGGCACTTTCACGTGTTTTTGGGTAGAAATATGCACAAGCTATTGAGATACTGAGAATAATTATATTCTCCCTTGGATGTGTAAAGACTTACACTTCAAATACATCCCCATTTTGTACTAAGGTTTTCACCTTTTCATCTAGTGATAACTTTTTGGTGTCCATTGGTAAAGAAGGTAGCTCAAAATGCACATATACATGTGCCAAAGCAACCTTAATTATGATGGAACTTAAGTAAGGCCCACTGGAATATTTAAAGCAATGGTCTTAAAGTAAATATTGCATTGTTTTAGGCCTTGAAACAAAATTAAGTTAATATGAATTCTGAGCTCCTGATTACAGTGTATATAATACCTATCCCTGCCACGTATATAAGAAATATCCCATCATGACAACTGTGGTGGAATAACTCATTGCTCTGCCCTTCATGAAGAGGAAGCTACAGTTACAATATAATAGTGTAGTGACTGTAATGGAATTATTTTCTCAAGACTGAATACTAGCTCTCTTGTTTTATTGATGTCAACCAATAATTCTCAGTCAGGGTCAATTTTTCTACCAAGCAAACATTTAGTATCGTCCAGAAACCTTTTTTGTTTTTCAATTTTATTGTTACTATTGGGGGTAGAGGTGGTTGCTACTGATAGCCAGTGCATATAGGCCAGGGATACTGCTAAACATGCATAACCTAGCTCCTTACAAAAAGGTTTGTCAGGGTCAAAATGTCAATAGAACTGAGGTTGAGAATCCATGATCTAGAAGTAGTAAGATTTTTCTCGTAGCCATCGTTCTACAAGAGTTATAGTTTGGTGTAATTACAATTAAAGATACAGATTGTATTGGCTGGCAATGTTATTCACATTCTTCTGCCAGTCTAGCTAGAATTCTTTATCAGTGGAAGTGACAGGTGCATAAGTCTTCTCAGTTGATGCCAAAGAAATGTCAGGTATATCCTTCAGAATGGATATTGCCAATCTCATGGGATTTGCCAACTCCCCTACATCATTAATGATCTTCTAGACACTATTTTTTTTAAAGATTCTACATTCTTGTTCAGTTTTTCTCTTACTACTGGTGCCAATCACTTTAAGCACATTTTCAACTATTACAGTCTTATGATAGTATTTTCTTTGAGATTTTTTTTTTCATTTATCTGTAGTACTTAATTATTGTCTTTCGCTATTGCTGTTTACAGAGCTGACTTTGTCTGACTTTCGATTATGCTGTTTTTACCTTGGTTTTGCTATCTGTCAGTCCCTTAGAAAACCGTTACGGCAGTCTTCTGAACTAGGATGTGGCCCCATTATGTGTAGACAGACACATGTTTCTCTTATCTAGCTATGGTTTCATTTTTCTGCCATCTGCCCCTGTCTAAGCTTGTGCCAGGAACTGCTGTGTGTCTTATATGTCAGCCTAGGGAATGGTTCATTGCTTGTTTTCTCAGAGACAGCTGGGTACTTCATAGGGTTGGTTCCCTCTCCCTGTCACTAGGGTAATTCTCTTACACATCTCCCAAGACAGATGGAGAATGTAGACATTAATAATTCACTATATGAATATAGTTGGTGATCCTTCTCAGACTGAGAAATTTTTACATTTTGTTCAAAAACATCTTGATGAAGAAATCAATGGTGAGCTGGGAATTAGAACATAGGAATAGGGAACTTGGACTAAGAAAGTAACTAAGATTAAATTTACAGTCATTAGCTCAATAACCATTTTAAGTGTTCATTGTTCTGATTGATGTTTGGATAATGGAGTAATAGAAATATTATTTACTTGTACTTATGTTCATGTGATCTGTAAGACTTAGAGGGTTTGTTTGTATTTCTGTTTATAATTAAGTTTATATTTAGCCTATTGGTGCTGGGGAGAAGAAATCAGATCATTTGGAAATACCCTACTGTCCTCTCAGGAGAGAAGAGGAAGTCAATGTCCTTTCTATCTCGGTTAGATAAAGCTGTGCCCCATTAGCAGTGGGATAGGAAATGATAACTGGAACCTCCTGTCTAATCTGGTTTCCTTAAGTCTAAGCAGCAGATAACTGCATCTATGGAATAGTGTTCATAATAAAGCTTATGGAGGCTTCAGATTAAATGTCTCCAGTAGACAAGCAATAGAATTTCATCCATCTTGAATCATCTTAGAGTTACAATTCTTCAGGACTAACTATTATTCATATTTTATAATTATGTGGATGTTGCTGTTTTTATATTTGAAAAATGTATTTATATATATATATATGTATGTGTGTGTTTTAAAATGTTATATTTAAATAATTTTAAAGTATCATTTACATCTTAGTTTTGGGACAGGGTCCTTTGCAAATTCCTCTTCTTCTCTGACCCTCACAACTGAGTCAATAGTTGCAAAAATACCCCCAAAGCTATGTGTATCACTCTCCTTTGGGATAGTTGTTGAATTCTATATCTCATTATTTTCACAGTACAGTCTAGGATGTCATCTTTTAATATTATGAATTTCAAAATACCAAACAAGAATATTAGGAAAAATATTTAAAGGGCCCTTAAAATACTGCCATCATTGTAATCTGAAAGAGCTCTACCTGTAGGGATTTTCAATTCTGTGATTTTTATTTCAGATTTTCTTTCTTTTTCCTAATATAGTTTATTAGCTTTTAGTTAGACCAAATATAAATAAACAATTATCCTTTGTTTTAGAAGTGAAGTCATTTTGATGGCTCCATGGAGCATACTTTTAATGTTAATCAAATCCTCTGTTTCCTTTCTATGGATACAATAACAACAGTGCTTTATTCATAGATTTAAGTCTCTTTAGAACATTCTGAGCTGCTGGAAAGCTGTTGCTGTTCCTTATATCGAGAAAACTAGGAATACTTCTTATCTGTGCTTCTT